TAACATAGATACGCATCAGCAAAGTGCTGCCACTAAAGAGTATCAGCTACTGCTGATATACAATAAGTTTGTTTCTATTTTATATTTACCGTTTGACAATGGGCTAGGTAAACAGCAAACGCCCAGACGAATGTCATTCTATTAGATTGATTTTTAAGAGCTTGATTTGAAATTTGGACGCGTGGGAAAAACAAAGGGAAGGCAATGGAATTCGTTTCGGCTTCGTCCATCCTCTAGTTGTGCACCAAGACGTACTTTTTAGCAAAATCGTTAATGTTAAGCTGATATCATGTCACTAATGAAATAATGATAACCTTCTAAATAAGTCACTGACATGGAATATCAGCCATGCATGCCTGCTATCTTCGTATCGCTCTGCCCCTTTTCTACGTCACAGCGCTCCTATAACCTTCTCATGACCAGACAGGTGTCACATGATAGCCGATATGTCACAAGATTTCCATCGCACATTCTTCTCCCCTGCTTTGCCTATCTCTTTTTTTTTTGTCGATATTTCAGATGACTTGTTCGTGTCTGCTTTTCTTTTGTATTGATTATTTTTTCAGTGATATCATCTCTGCTTTTCTTTCATCTGACAGTGGTGTTGAGCTTATCGGTCGAGAGAACTCCACAAATTTTGAATAATCACTTATCTTTGATCTTGCTATAGAGATATCACCAGACGTTTTCATAGTCTAATTTTCATCGAATGCATTAATCTTGAATGCTGCGGTGACTTACGAATCGTGTATTTAAGTGCGCTTTAATGTCGGTCCTCAAAAATGTCCTCATTCGTGCAGAGTGCTTGTATTTCACGCTATCTTCGTCTCACATGCGCTGTAGCCTTTAAGTTTTAACCATATGCGAAAGTCGAACATGACTCATCTGATGATAAGCCACGTTTGGGTGAGCGGCTCGTCACATTATTATCTGAGATTCCGGTCTGATCCCTATCGTCCGAGTTCCTCTCACTCGGCGCCCGTCGAGGATCCATCGGCACCGCTCAAGTGCTGTCGCGGCGTCCACTCACGTCACGGGAAAGTGTCCCTTGTGATGGGAACGACGCGCGGTTCCTTGGGGAAAACGCCCGCTCTGGAGCAGAAGCGAACACTGCGCTCCACTCCGTGGCTACTGCTAGGCAGATGGATAGCGGCCCTGGCAGGAATTCGTCCGCTGCGAGCCGCTCATTTTTACGGGGCACGGGACTGCCAAGCTGAGACGGGTGTAGGTATTATTAATTTGGCGGTCCATATCCCAGACGTGTGGGGACCTATGCAGCTGGGACTTCTTCGGCAGACAGACCGTTAGTTGGACCGTTCGGCCTCTCAGATTTACCGCTGCGACAATATTTTCCCATACACAGTCACTGAGAATTGTACCAGATGAAGAGACGAGCAACGGAAAGAATTAGTTACACCAGCAAAAATTACCAAATAATGCCAAACGAGCCACCAACACGTGCAAAGTGACTGTTATACTGCATTTCATACTTAACCATTTTTATTGGTTCTTAACCCTCGCACGACCAGGCCATTTCTCATAACACGAACGACCAGGGGGGGGGGTTGTTACGACCCCCCTGGCGTTTCGAAACGGAAGGTCGTAGAGCTTAGCGGAAAAAACCAACGGATTGCTCTCAACGAGATCTCGCGATTGGTGGTATATTTTTTGGTCCTAGGTCAACATTTGACCTACTTATGACCGGTCAAAGGTCAAATTTTCCGAAAAAATCAAACTTTTTCAACTTTCCGCGGCGATTGCGGCAAAACGGTCGGAGATATCGACTTGAAACCTTCACTATCGTGTTCCTTGATCAATTCTCTATCGTTTGGTATGTATTTCGTTTCCCTAGCTCTAAAAATGGCGCGTTGGGAGCGCCGGAAGTCGGCAAGGTCACAGTCGGCGGCAGAAATTCGAAAAATCAAAATTTAAATTTTTGAAATCTGATTGTATTTTTGGATTTGGGAGGTCCATTTGCTCCCTATAGAAGCTAATATTGCTGCATATTCCCATTGAGGTGACAAGAATTAGCAAAATAGTGGTTCGGGCGCTTTTCAAAAATAGTACCGGACGCTGTTCCTCTTGTGACGTCATAGCTCCGTGACCTGACCTGACCCGGTCAATTTTCTTGCACCACACGATAGCCAATGCTTGCCCCAACATGCATGGGAAGTTTCATCATGATCCATCAAACAATGTGGGTATCACCGGCAGAAAACCTAGGGATTCGGCGCACACGTTTGGTAACTGTCGGCCGGAGGCTGTACCTCTTATGACGTCATAACTCCGTGACCTGACATGACCCGATCAATTTTTTTTCGGCAAAAGATGCGCAAAGGTTGCCCCAGAGGGTATTGAAAATTTCAGCCCGCTACGACAAGCCGTTTAGCGTGCACTTCGAAAAAACCTCAGGGGGGGGGGGTTGATACACCCCCCCCCCCCTAGGCGTTCTAGGGTTAAATGTATCCAGTGACATGAGTGAAAGAGGGAGAGGTCCGATATTATTTGAAAGCTCGGCGTTTTCGGTCTAACTTGGTCTCTCAGGCGCCAGGCCCGTGGAGTGGGGACTTCTGCCTGCGGGGCCCGACTCGGTTCAATAACGCCCGTGGTGTGTGGTGTCGGTGTGTGTGTGAGGGGGGGGGGTCCAAGGTCACGGGTCAAACTCACGACTCACGAACACGAAATCCACCCCCTCCCCAGGACAGAAAGGAAATCATGTTTAGGTCGTTACCGGTGTGGCCTGCTTTTTATATCATTTTATTCACCCCTGAAAAAGAGTGCTGCACGATTGTCCCTGAATGTGGCCAACCGTGCCATATGTATTGCGCTAGATGCGAGGGTGGCATGTGAAGTGGAATTTTATAGAGCTCAATCCTCTTGGAGATAAGCTATGGTCCTAGCTGAATCCTACCTATTCACGGGTGAACAATCACAGGGAGCTGAAACGTACTTAAAGTGACTTGATCTGTTTTTCTGTGTTGGAGCTTGGATTGGGTTTTTGATCTTAGATATTTCGTCAGTCTGGCTGGGTATACGGCTCAATAAAATTTGCCATTATCATTCAAAACCATTCATTGTACTTCATACCGTACTTTCCAGTGTCGGCTGTCCAACGCGGATACGCAGCTTCACTAGATTGCAACGTCTCGCCCGGCGCTCTCTTCTGCTGTGCTGCCAGTGACCGTCCGAAATGTCCCCCATCCTGCAGTCAGTCCCAGTCACGGCGGCGCCACTCTGCCGGGGATGCTGTCCCACACGCGCCGCGTCACCGTTCGCCGCTGTTCAGCCGACTTTGTGACAGCTCCTCAGCCGCTCACTGGGGCGCGCGTTACCTCATGTCGGGGCGTGAGTCGGTTATTTTACCAACCAGGGCAGAGCGGTCGGCGGGTCGGTGACTGGACGATGCGTCCGGTGACAGGGGTAGTTGATTGTCCGGTGACAGTATGGTGACAATGTGAGGTGACTGTCCGGTAGCAGGGCGATATGACAGTCCGGTGACAGTCTGGTGACAGTATGAGGTGACTGTTCGGTGGCTCTTCTGCCGCGGAGATCACCGGAAGCCTCCGTCTGCCGCGCGTCAAACCCTGCCACGCGCCAGTGACCGATGCGACACTACGTAATCATAACTTTGACACAGCCATTTGGACTCGTTTCGCGAGCAGCTTTTGTTGGAGATCGCGCCCCGTTACGAGTGTGCTTTTAGAAAGCGGTGTCGTGTTTTGGTAAAGGGCGTTGTGGGTTTGTGTGTGGATATTTTCGAAATTGATGTCGATGTGTCATCTTTCGGGTTAGCTCAGCTAGAAAAATTCAACATCGACATTTGTATCAAAGCTACATTATTTCAGATATCGATTCGTCTTCCTTATTTGAAGAATAACAGTATAGGTAACTGAAGTAATTTTATTGCAACGTCTAGCTAAAAAGAAAAGAAAAACTACAAGAGTTACTCAGCAATGGTCGCATTGGTGGTGATTTCGTCAGTTCAGCTAAGGTTAAATATTGTTAAAAACGTGTTTCATGTTTTGATGGTGTCAAATGAAAACTTATTTTTCCTATATTTTCACATCTTGAGCAATTTCGTCAACACAAACGGCAACATGCTCATGTCATCATATAGCAATGGACAGGGAAAACCAGACTTTGACAAGTGAAAACAAAAACATTACGCATTTTGCAGAATTGGCAGAACCTTTTCTTTTTATCTTTTTGATTAATTCCCAGCATCACCAATACCTGCCTCTCTGCATCATTTAACGTCACGGAGGCTCAATCTTATCAATGCCGTGGGATGGATATGGCAGCACTGGCTGAAGTTCAGGTGCAGAAAACGGAGCTATCAAATGTAAAATGGTTTTTATGCATTTCAGCCAATCGTATGTTGACGGTCTAATAAAGAATCATTTCCTTGACTCGGATAACCCTTTGTCAGCACTGGCATCACTGTAAATGTTACTATGTGTCGTGAATAGAATAATACGGCATTTTATAATATTGGGCCATGGGGGGTTGAGACTATTAGTAAAGTAATCTTGGTTGAGACGATCCTTTCGGGTTTGAACTCTAGTTGGGCTGTAATTTAACAAACAAAAATGTGTTTTTTTCCAGGATTGGAATCCAATAGTTCCAAATGTAAAGGTTCCAGTAAAATAGATAACCTTTCATGTCATGCCGATTGCACAGAAATCGTGCTTTGTTCTTTGACGAATTATTTCGGAAAATGGTCCCACACCACAACATAACCATTGTGTCTTCAGAGACATTGGATGATGAATTATTGTTTGAAAACGTCCAGATTATTCATAAGTGACCTCGAATGACCCTGCATAGTGCATGACCTTGCATAACAAGTGATGGATGGATTTGTAGAATGCAGTTGTAGACGCTGACCAATTGAATCCGTGAAGCATGCTTCCCTCAGAAATGCGGATTATTGGGATCTACACAAAGCTGCACAAGTCTCCGGGGCCCTGACACTCGTGTCTCCGGACGCCGGCACTCACCGGAGAGTGCTCCTGTAGCTGCGGTGAGTGCTGAGTGTCGGTGTACCTCACTGCGCGCTCCGCCTGGTGTCGGCCGAGTGTCACCGCGCGCTGCACCGACTGACACCGACACGACACGTGGGCACTGACACGGCAATAACCGGGCCGGCGCGGCGCCGCTTCCTCTTATAGACCCGCCGCAGTCGCCCCCCCCCCCCTCCCCGCCGCCGCCGCCGCCGCCGCGGCTTCCTCGGTGACGTCAAATTGACCTCGGTGACGTCACACCCGCCATGGGGTTCAGACTGGTGTGACGTCATCTAATATGTGATGACCTCACGCTGCGTGCCCTGGTCCGGTGTGGAGCGGAATGCCTGCCTCGTAAGTGCTCTAGTTCCCGTGTCGCCTCGGGCGGGGTCCGTCGGGCGGGGTCCGAGATCCGGATCCGGATCCGGGAGGCTGTGTCCTGGACAGGTGGCGGTTACTGGTGGCCAATGCACGTCTGTGGTATGAGGCCCCGGGCCCAGACGGTCGTTTGTGATCGATCTGAGGCGGAGATAAAGTGCGCAGATAACACTGGCGGGAAGAGTTGCAGAGAGCCAGGTTCCGGGCTGCTCCCGACGGCTACGGGCGCGGGCAGGACAGGCAGACATATTCAACTGAGTCACTTAGAGATGAGACTGCAGCTTCTCCCCCGGCCAGACGCATCGTGCCAGGCATTTCTTAACCCACGAGCCGCTGGGGGGGGGGGGGGCGTGAAGCTGCCCCCCCCCCCCACCCTCCCCTTACCCTATTTTCATATCTCCGAAGCCTGATAAGATATGAACTTGAAATTTGATATAGCTTCAAATGAATACCTAGGTCATATTTTCGTAATTGTAGCACCCAAGATAACGCCACAATGACGTCATACAATTTTGTCGTTTTCCTGTATGGAGGGTTTCTGATGTCGCTAAGCATGAAACGCAAGGGTAGGTAGATGAACTAAACAGCATCTGCTGCCATCCTGACGCATCTAAATACACTTGCAAGTTGCAAGTTGCAACTAATTCCTGACCAGTGATCGGTCCTATAGATTCGATCCAGTATATCGGATATATCGTGTGGAAACCAGAGACGCAACTCTATAATTCGGCTTCTGACGTCACAGTGACGTCATTTCAAGTGGGATCGACAACAAATGTGAACACAACCTTGGCTATCTACCCAGAAGAATGTGTGTAAAATTTCGTTTCCCTAGCTCTTCGCATTGGGACTATATCGTCGTAAAAATAAAGGGGGGGCAATCAGTTGCCCCCCCCCCCCCGCTACCCAGCGGGTGACGGGTGGCGCGGAGGCCCGCGCGCAGCGGCCGCCGGGTTAATCTTCTATGCTGATTGGTTCGTCTTTGGTTGGCCCTCATTTAAAGTTTATGGAGCACTGCAAGCATTCCTCTTTATACAATATTTGTCTCGACATGACACAGTATAAGATGATACTGGTGAATATTGTCGCAACAGAGTGCTGTGACGTTTGCTAATAGATGTCTTTATCCAAGTCTAATTTGCATAACCACGTCCTACGAGACTTACTTTCTAAATATGAACTACTGTTGCAGAACGCCTGCTTATCCTGACTAGGTCATTAAGCACGGTGAGCCCCTAAATCACGACACGACTCAGTTTGGTATAATGCTGATAAATTGGAGTTAGTTGTGCACCTCAGTGTGTCACCCTCTGAAGGCCGTCCCTGACCCGTTTGGGCCGGGGCGGTGCATTGCGGAGGCGGTGTTACTCACTGCCCGCAGGCGACTCCACTGCGCTGGGGGTGCCGTGACAGGGGTCGTGGCGCGACACGAGGTTCTCCCGTGACAGGGGACTCGTGGCGTGACACGGGGTTCTCCCGTGACAGGGGACTCGTGGCGAGGTGACTGGGGGCTCGTGCCGTGACATGGGGACTCGTGCCCAAACAATCTTCGTAGTCCCATGATACCAAAGGTGACCTGTGGTAGCGGCATAACAGCAAAAGCGCTACTGCTCTCTGCGCTGAGTACTTGGTGGTTCATAACTAATATCGTCTTGCTGATACGATTGAAATTCTTGCGCATTGCGTGTCTGCAATTTTTACCTTTAGCTTCTACGTTGTTTCAATAATAGATATAAGGGCTCTGTGCTCTGTAGCTCAGGAGGGCGGGTGCGTCCCTCTGAACGCTCCTCTGCCCTAGTGCTCTTTACTCTGCTCCTCTGAACTCTGCCATGCAGCTGCGGCGGTTCTCGCAGATAGGCATTTGCCGAGCCAAAGTAACACCTTTTCCATTCTGGATATATGTTTGTGGTCTTTTTTTTGCATAGTTATGTCGATTTATGAAGCTGTTTTCCCTGATGTAAGTACAGAAATGTGTCTCTGCGCTGAACTGCCTCCACTGATTTTCGTGCTCCTCTGATTCTGATCCAAATCACTACCAGACCATTACGTAAATGTGATATTGTGATGATCCTCCCCTCTGACCATCCTGGCAAACCGTGCCAACCAAACAATGGTTTATTGGACGGACGGGAGGGTAATCACGGGCCGCCCGGGTCAGCGTCTGCCGATTGTTTCGCTGTTCATTCACCAACCTCTGTGGACAGACTCAGAGGTTGGCTCAGAAGCCTGAACCGGAGACCCAGTAATTGACATTGATTGGGAGACCGACAGGGGAGCAGCCCTGCGCCGTGGCTCGTGTGGCTGTAGCGATTACGAAATTCAGTAGTGTGGGTACCAACTACCAACAGTTGCTGTAGCAATTGGTCAGCTGACCTGTGTGGGACGTTCTAGAGCACGACCTATCAGAATAATGATTTGCATGTTGTGTGCAAAAGTTCATATCTAGTCCAATCTTACATCAATTATAAAACGTTCTGAGCATTCCGCTTTGGGAACATAGGCTTAGTTGGAACCAATAGACACGATTCCGAGCATGAGTACAGTCGATCTAAGATATTTGATAATTGATTTGCTTGAGCAACGATGAGTAAACAGCTTCGCGACTTTAAGGTTCGAATCGTAACCTTTGTTACTTTGACGCTCATGACATTGTTGGAAGGTAAAGCGAGTTTGCTATTTTGAGTCTCAACGAACTTGTATTTGATCTATATTGATTGTGTCCAATGTCATATGTACAATTTTAGTTGATTTTGAATCACGCTGGAGGAGTGGCCTCCGGGGCGGTCTGGCTCAGGGATGAGTTCTTCTTTGACTTTTGGTCCGACCATCCTCGAGCCAGCTTAATTCCGAGACTTGTCATAAGGGAAGACGAGACAGCTTTGTCGCTTTGAACGGCGCGGGAGTTCCAGCTAGTGGTGTTCAGGCCTAAATTATCGTATATGCCAGAGTGTTTAACCCATCACCGGGGAACCAACTAAGCCTCATGAGCGGCACTATGCGTGAAGGTAAGTGGCTGCGGTTGGGACAATTTCAGAGTTCTCATGGTGATTTTGGTGGCAAATGGTCGCTTTATTAGAGGTGATAAGGCTGTGGTCGAATTTTGCGCCTGGTGCACAGCCGAGTTTGGAGAACGTCTCTGTCCGACCGATCGTAAGGTAAACGGTTCGTCGAGCTGCGATAATTTGGGAGGGAAAGCGATGACTAAGGAGGATAGCTGAACGCATTCGGTCTCAGGTTCAGGGTCAGTCGCGGGACATTGTGACGCAGTGTCGCCGTCGTCATTTGGAGCCTTCATAAAATTGTTCTACCTCATCATGACTTATTCGGGGATGAAGGTATTTTCTCACTTAACACGCGCAGTGGAAGGGTTGCGAGTACTACGCCCAGTGGAAGGGGGGGGGGCGGATGTCGCCCCCCCCCCTAAGATCTCAGCTCCCAGTGGAGCTAGAAAGACGAAATTTGGAGGGTAGGTGGGGGCTATGGGGAACTCTGTTGTGTGTGAATTTCATGACCCTAGGTCAATATCTTCAAGGTCAAATGAGGTCAAATGTGGTCAAATCTGCCATATTAGCGACTTTTTTGCGTTTACACGCCGATAACTCAAAAAGTTACCGGCCGATTTTTTTAAATCTTTCACTATACGAAAGAACAAACATTTGTGAGTATGTATGGTGAATTTCTAGATAATCCAACAATAAATATGGCAGTTAGAAGCCTGCTAAGGGTAAGATGTCGCCGGCTGAAGCGGCATCGGCCGACGCGGGAAACGCGGCAATCACAATTTTGTGTTTACACACTCATAACTCAAGTTGTTACCGGCCGATTTTCAAAATTCTTTAACCATATGATTGCCTGTGCATTTCTCAGTCTTCTCCCCCAATTTGACGCGAATCTAATTTATTCAGCGGTAAGGAGCGCGATGTAAAGACGGAACCGTCCCGCCCCGGCACAGTCTACAATTCAGGCGGCGCGTAACGGCTAGCGCCGGCCGCCGCGCCGCCGCGCCGCCGCGGCGGCAGGATGTTTGACTTTACACCGCTATTACTAGAAAAGTTGTGAACCGATTTTCTTACTTTTTGCACGAGAAGATCCGCAATTCAATTCTGGACAGGTAGCCAAAATTTAACATTGATATTATGCTTGCGACGCGAGTTATTGGCGAAAAACAGGAGGGGTGGGCGAAATCCGCCCCCCCTTCCACTGCGCGTGTTAAATGATTTCATTATCATCGCCATCATCATCGTTGCAGTCCAGAGCACATTCGGCTGAGGAGGCAACTCTACTTTACGCCGCCCAGTCATCCTTCTCACTTCTCAGGTCACCAACACTTGTGAGGCAAGCAGCGCCACCCGAACCAGGGAAAATCTCATCGAATCCTGAACGGAGACGCGATAATGACACAGAAGGTCGGACGTAAAAAATCGACAGCCATTCTTGGGTGAGTTGTCGTTTTGGCCTCAGCGGTACCGACGAAGGCTGTATTCAATGGATGACGGCGAACGGGTTCGGGTAACGGTAATCGCAGGGCAGACTGACGGCACGTGCCTTATTAGATGGATGGTGTCGCCATTTATGACACTGCTTTGTGTTCCAGGCAGGAGGAAACATTTACTTGTTAAATACAATTATCATCTATCAAAATAAGAAATGCAACGGCAACGCAAGTATGGTGGAACTGGAAGTGGCATATTGAGTTACATGCTTTGCTTTCTGTCAGAGACGATGATCGCAGAAGGTGACCACGGTTTAGTTTTAACGTTATATAGCTGCCAAGATATTCTTTTTTAACCTTCCAGGCGGTGGGGGGCATCCCCCCCCTTCGTTTTTTCGATATATCTCGAGAACCGCTACGCCGATCGTCACCAAACTTTCAGTACCTTCCCGGGAGTAGGTAGCGCACATGGTGACCAAACATTTTTCAAAAGGCTATGATAGGTTGGCCGCTAATGACGTCAGAGTGACGTCATTTCTGCCATTTTTGACCCAAAAAAGGTTTAGCGGGAAGAGCTGTCAGGCCTACAGCTTTAGAGATACAGAAAAATGTTCTTGACATAAAAGGTGTGGAATCAAGAAGGCTACAAAAATGTCATTTCGGTTTTTCGAATTTTTTGGATTTTGACCCCCAAAAGTCAAAAAATAGATTTTTTGAATAAAATAGCCGAAAAATCCAAAAAAAATGAATTTCGAAAAAAACGGAATATACCTATGTGATAGTCCCTATCGCCTTCTATCTACATACCAAATTTGAGATCGATACCTCTTTTTTGGCCAAGTTAGGTATAGCGAAAAAAAAAACGGGGAATATTTGTTTCTGGTCCCTAAAAAGCTGTTTCTGGCACCTAATTGCTGATCAGCCCCAAAATGCTTATTCGACCCTAATATCTGAATCTGGCACCTAATTGCTTCCACACAGCCTAAAGTTGCCAGATCGTCTAGTTGAACTCCGTATTTGCTGTTTGCTGATTCAGCACCAAAACCAAAACATCCAGCACCTATTTTATTCCACGTTTGCCTACCTAATTCGCGTAATCTTCCTGATTTTATGTATCCTAACAAACATGAACGTTGCATTCGGTGATGTCAAGTGCCATTTTCGCCAGTGGAGATAATGATTAATGCCATTTCTAGCCAAAAGAGAATCACTAGCCAGCCATGGTGCAGCATAGCAAGACGCTCCTATACCAGCCCGTTATGTAGAGATTAGAGATTATTGCACCCTCAGCCATTTTAACGTGAAAAGTTTGGATCCGTCACTTCCAGCCAGGCTCTCAGGTCATAAACTGGAGTAAAGCAAAATGTAAACTCTGAACAGACATGCCACGCAACCGGCCCTCTTTTCAATATTATTAGCTTTCTGCAATCATCGTCTGACTCCATCTCGATCAAACGCAGCATCCGGTTTCTACAGGGGCGTTTGACTGACCGGCCACACAATAACCAAAAACAAAATCAAAGCTTCATGCACACATATGACATAAGTAAGAAACGGATGAAAAAGGCACAACCACGGCACAACTCTGCGCGGCAAACAACGGACAATGTCCCACGCAAGATCCCGCGTTTCTTCAGCGGCCTTGAACGGAATGAAAACATTACATTTCTTTTTTGGAGCTATTTGATGACGTCAAAAAATACAATACCCGTTTTAATGGTCAAAATCGAGACAATTACTCACAAAAATGTTTTCTTTTAAGCATTACAAATAAATGCTTTTAAATATTTAAATGACATTGTTTTTTTTTCAAACAAATCAATATTATTTGCTTACTTAAACGTCATATACAATGCTGAGATCACTACGGGGCTGTCTTAGAGTGTAGCTGCACTGGCAACCTTTAGGCTAGACTACAGGGGTCATTATACCAGAACAACATGATTCTACCAGCCAGTAGTTCATTTTTCTACTAGATTGGTGCTACGCTCAGCATTTAGGTGCCAGATTCAGAAAAAAGAGTAAGGCGTACCGATGAATAGGTGCCAGAAACAGCTAATTAAGGTCATTTTCCATGATTGGTGCTGGTATCCACCAAATAGGTCCTGAGGACCAATTTTGGGGCGAGTCAGCTTTTAGGTGCCAGAAATAGCTTTTCTGGGACGCAATTAAATGGCGTCCAAAAAAAACTTCAAAATTGATGACGTCAAATTTTCAAACTCAGTTTTTAGCAATTCTTAACCTCGAAGCGCAAAACAAAGACCACCATTAGACTCCCCGTGACGAGCTGCATCGAATCAATACCCATTTTATGCAAAAATATCAACTTTGAAATTTGACCTTTTTTACCTGACCTTGACCGGACCTCCACCAGAAAGTGACCTAAACCGTACCTGATGGTCTTATAACCAACACCATTGAGTTGGAAATGAAAAACTGGCCATAAACAATGCATCGCACAACCTTAGTAAAGTTGGGTTCATGTGGTGACCCTTGGTGACCTTTGGTGACCTGACCAGTGACCTGACTTGGTATGACCAGTGACCTCTAATAGCAACATATGTATGTACTAAACAACTGACGCCCTATCGCTGATTTTCGACAAAATGCGTTTTACTCGTGTTATAGCGCTTTCCCTAGAAGCCCCGTGAACGGTGAAACATTTTATCTTTGACCTGACGTGTGACGTCATCGGTGACCCCGAGGTCAATGAAATTTGGTTTCCACAACAAATTTGACAGGGCTATCGAACGCCGTTTGAATTTTTCGGATCCGTCCAGTATTTTCGGAGATACGGGGGGGGCAAAAAAATACCCCCCCCCCCCCACCGCGCGGAAGGTGGCTGGGAGGCCCACCTCCTGCCGGGTTAATGTTCCCCAAAACACCGAAAGTGAATTCGACAACATTGCCATTAGGCGACTGGCGCGTACCGTGGCTTCGGATTATACTTTTCTACATGTTTTCAGCACTCGAAAAGTGATTAAAGCTATGCATATTTTAATCAGCTTCGGCCCGTAACAAGACATTTTTTTAAATTATATATCCAAATAAGTTTGCCTTTTCACTCTTATTGGCCATCGTACAAAATAACAACGGGCTGTAAAATAAGGGTGATGACAGTAGCTCGCGTTGGGTAAGCCTAGAACATTTTTTGTTTAATTAGTAATTACAACATTAAATCGCCACTTAGACTACCATCGATGGACAAGTTACTGGTAAACCTATCTCCACAGTTCATTGCACAGGAACAAGCATATACGGGCTGCATAATTCGCCAGAAGTGTCGGCTGTGCTGAACCGTGACCTCGCGGCATTTCCTTGGAGCAGTAGGTACTATTGATATCAAACTGGGTTGTTTGCTGAGTACAAGCACAATGACGGTACATTCGGGGGACCTTATAAGGCGCAGGGACACATATGGGTAGTAATGAATGGCTAACAGTGGCACACCTATGTTGGTGGGTCTATTGTCCACAAATTGGTCCACAATACCTCGCTTCATGAAAGAGAAATTGCTATAAAGCAGGCGATTTAATAGTTCCCGTGCAGTGAAACTACACCGGTCGCAAACATGGATGCATTTGCATTTATGTTGCCCACTTCAGCCAGCTTTATTGAATGTATGTAGAGCTAATCTCATTAGTTCGATACATAGGACAATAATTGAATACCAAGTTGAACACACCAGCGAACCAGATTGCCTTGTTTATCCATGCGCATCTTCCTTGTGTTCGTGCCAGGCTGAACGTTGCGCTGTCTGTGATTAGCTGAGCTAATTGGTGACTAAGTAACCATATCTGCGCTGACTCGTTGATGGATGGAGCTGAGGCGTACCGACCTTGGGTGACTTTGTGTCAGCGACTCGCCAACTGTGGGCGCCTTTCCGTGTCCCCAGCACGGGCTCTCCATTGTTGCCGATGATGTCAGACTTTTAAAAAATAAAGAATCTCGTGCAGGAAACTAAAACGAAGGCTCGTGTTTCAACAGAACGACGTAATTTTGTCATTATTTGGTCTCCTATATGTGTGCATTTGAACATCATTACAAGCCAAACTGCTAACATGCTATCGTGATAAAACGAAAAATGTTTTATTGTGTTTGTAGAAGTGAACGGTGTCCATTGTTTGCCGCGAAAGAATAGTCTAGAGGCTGAGCCAGTGACAAGCCCCTCAAAGAGAGCTGCGCAATGTGTATGGCGTCTACGCATAATGGCTCCAATCTATTACTGTCAGTGAAGACATTCACCAACAGGCAACACAAGGTGCAATGCGGATGATTTACAATGTTCTTTGGCTCTCACGATCTTTTAAAGTCAGGACAGATGGTCTCATGATGCTGAATTGTTAATTGTTTTTAATAACAATTTTTATCGCGCTTTAACCATGCTGAAATGATGTCATATAAATCGAAAAGGAAAAAGCTTTGATAAACAAGGGGCCGAGTACAGCAAACGAGTGAGTGTACCTACCTATCTGTGGATTGAAGTAAAATACTCGTTCATGAGCGCCCAACCCAAAGCGGCTCCGTGACGCTTTTCAAAGCCTTTTTGTCGTTAACTGCAGGGGACCGATCGATAAGTGATTTTCTACATCAGGTAGTCCTATCGCTTCAATCAAATTCAGCATATGTTGATGCATTTGGATGATTGTCTCGGTAGGTCTAAGAAGAGAAAAGAAGTAACTGAGAAAATAAAGGAAGCTCCCGCTCTTCTTCAAGATGCCATGGGTTAACCATGGTGGGTTCATTTTGTTGACGTTAGTTTTGTTATGTTTCGGTTTAGTTACGGGCTACAGTGAGGCAAAAATCAAATAACCATGTTTTTCAATAATTTTTGCCCCAGTGTAGCCCGAAACTAAAGCAAAACATGATTATTTACCTGAGATAGATTTAAAAATGGTACACTTTTGCAGTAGGTTTCGCGCTGCTCTTCTCCACATAAGCCACTTGCGCGGGAAACAGCAGTCGCACCGACCACCTCGAAGCCAACGATGGTGGTGAATATGGATAAATAAATATCATTTACAACCGTTTGTTGCGATGTTTTTAAATTTATAAGCTTTTTTGCTTAAAAAATACAAGGCTACACAAATGCCCGATGAACGAGATTCACACCCGTTCTATTGAGCCGTTGTTCTGCTTCTAAAGTCTGCCGCGCTCCCCAGGGTTTCGGGAAGTCCAGTTGAACGGTGTACAGTCCGTGTTGACTTGTCCACTCGCCCCGGGGGCTGGCGATGTATCGTCCGGCTGTGCGTACTATCCCACGGGTCACTCACCTCTCCGTGTTGTGCCCGTGCCGTGCCCGCGGCTAGGGTCGGACCTGCGTCCCTCCCTGTGCCGCAGAGGGTCCCAGGGCCCCGAGGAGGCCCCATGGCCCAGATAAATAGCCAGGACCCGGCGGCGGTACGGAGTTTTGTGTGGAGGTGCGGGCGCGGCAGCATTCAGAGCAGTTCGCGGCGAGGAGGAGCGTTGGAAACACTCCCAGACCGCAGGATATTAGATCAGCACAGAGGTAAGTGACCGATCATGAGAGATTTACATCTTTTCATATCGCGCCCAGTTTCGTTTCCTCCAATTGACGCAAAAGCGTATGCATGAAAAACTTATCGTCTAATTCTTTCAAGGATAAATGTCCTGATCATGAATTATGGATCAAGTGCAATACCCAGGAAGATAGGCTATTCCTGATAGGGATAGGTTTCGTATTGCTGATATGCCTTGACACCTTGTCGTGTCTATAGTATAATGATAAGAATTGGGATCTAAGGACGGTGCAGTGTACGGCGGAGGAGTTCCGTTGGCGGCCTCTCTCTTGTATCGGCCTATTTGAGGGGTCAACCCCAGTTCCCAGATGCTGGTGGGCTTCGTTCTCCACCTGCTGCTGCTGCTGGCGTGCCGGTCAGTGTTTGACCTCTGTGTCCCGGCCCCCAGATGCTGCTGCTGGTTAGTGTTTGACGGCCCCCTCCCCCGCGGTCCCCAGATGCTGCTGGTGTTAGCGCTCTGTCTCGGCCTGACGTCTGGAGGTCGTCTCAGCGGCTGCCTGCTGCCGACACCATCGGCCGACTTGGCTGCCGCCGAGGTCAACCCCGCCGCTCCTGAGTTTACTCCTGAAGACCCCGGCATCAACCCGGCAGACTCTGAGATAATCTCTGAGGATACTGAGATTAACCCTGCCGCCCCTCAGATCATCCCCTCCGGCCCTCAGATCATCCCCTCTGGCCCTCAGATCATCCCCTCCGGCACTCAGATCATCCCCTCCGGCCCTCCTACGGTCGCCGCCACCGGACTGATCCCGCTCTCCCCAGCGGGTCTGTCCCAGGGCGCCGGGCGGCCGCCGCCGTTCCTCCCCGCGCCGGTGCCGGTACCGGTCCGCGCCCAGGAGGCCGGTCGGCGGACCTCCTTCTTCAGCTCTCTACCGGTCTCCGGCGGCGTCAGCGTGGGCTCGTTCTCCAGCGTGGGCAGCTTCCACGGCCCGCAGGGCGGCTTCCACAGCGCTCAGGGCGGCTTCCACGGCCCCCAGGGCAGCTTCCACAGCGCTCAGGGCGGCTTCCACAGCCCTCAGGGTGGCTTCGTTCAGCTGTCGGCGCCGCTGGTCGGACTGCAGGTGGGGTACAGCGGGGCGCACCTGTCGCCTCCGGCAGTGGTCTGCCTCAACTGGTGTCTGGACCCGACCGGCAACTACTTCTGCTGCCGATACACAGGTGGGTAGCTGTTTCTGTTGCTGTGTGAAGGTGGTAGCTGTTGTAGTGTTTATAGACTATAGAGGCAGCCGTTATAGAGAAGGGTGCCATTGTAGTCGTCACAAAGGTAGCCGTTATATAGAGGTGGGTGCTTCTGGTTCCGTTATAGAGGCGGTTGAAGAGCCTTGATGCCGTTAAGCGGACTTATTCTACTGCTCTGGAGGGAAAAGTAGGTGTTTTTCACCGCCGTCCCAGATTTGCGTCGGATCGTTGCAGGTTTACCTACAGAACAGCCAGGCTGTCGCTCTAGATCACGTCCAGCATTTAACGGATGTATGTCAGAGGGGCAGCTAACAATGTCTGTACAATTACAGTGTGTCTTTCCTTCGACGTGCATGTGTATTGGTGTAGCAACATCGCTGACATGTAGTACATAGCTACTTATTTGCTCTCTCCCTGTGTACTGCTATTGTTGCTGCAGTATCCCACTTTCTTCATGACGCGTTCCGTTTCCGTTCTGCGTCAATCGTTTGGCATGTGGTGAGCAGTGATAGAGGAGAGGAAAATGTGCCCCATTAACAGTTGTAGTCTCCGGTCCAGTGGGTATAGTTAGCTGGCGCGGCGGTAGAACGTGCTGAGTGTAAAGCTATAGCAACATCCCTGCAACAGCCCGTTGCCAGTAAACAGCACTGTGCTTCACAGTCGCAACATAACCAGCACGGGAAAACTCACCTGATCAGTCACCAGCTCTGTGGTTCGACAAGTCCAGTTGCTAAGCACGCCTAATCATAGGCGCGGGAGCCGGGGGGGCAGGGGGGGCAGCTTGCCCCCCCAACTCTGGGGCCGTGGGGGCGGTGCCCCCACAGCTTTGAGACGGAATACCACACTTTTTTTGCAAATGTTTTCTTTTTTTGCTGAAAAAGCCGAGGGGTGAAAAATAAGTGGCCTAAAACCGGTGAGAAAACTAGATTTGGGGGTACCCTAGGTTAATCTCTATTATGGTGTGCCCCCCCAGTCGGAAAGTAGTTCCCGCGCCCCTGCGCCTAATTAAGCCTATTTGTCAACATGCAGCCCGTTCATGCCTGAGTGAAATCTCAGCCGAACCCTGAGCCTGGTCGCGACCGGCAGCCGCTCGTTCCCAGGCCGGACGAGGATAACCGCGGGCTGAGAACGAGGGAAACGGGCGGCGTTCGGAAAACGGCGTTGTTTACCGGCTGTCCCCGGTCCTCGACGGAGGAGCGGCGACCTCCGCGGCCGCCGGCCTTCCCTGGCCCGGCGCCACCGCCGGGAATCGCTGAACAGATAATGGGTACATTTTTCACCGCGCCAATATACCTATACCTCCCCCGCCGGTGCGACCCTTCCTCCCGGCTTCAGCGGAACTGCGGCCGGCAATGTCGTTCAGCGATGTGTTTCGTAAACTAGAGGTCGCAAAACGTCGGGTTGAATTGGAATACCGAGGTATGTTACGTCACTTACCTCAGTAAAATTTCCGAGAGCGTCAACCTCCTCGAACGCACTGCATGCTTTCATGAATTGGAGTGAGTCAATGAAATGTAAGCAGAAATGAGCATTTCTCATTCAGTTGGTTTTGTTTTTGTTTGTCACCCCTAAAAGCTCATATGTGGCGGTTCATTCGCTTTTCTGTGATAATCTCTCCGTCTGTGTAGTGTATTTACAGAGGAGCTACCTGCCACTAATTCACTCGCATTAGAAAACATATTCCCCCCTCTCGTTGCTTCCCTTCTTGCCGGATCTGCAACTGACGCCCCGTTCTCCCCCGCAGGGGTCTGACGCCCCTTTTCCCCGCACGTGGTCAGTGCTCACTAACATCCCCGTCTTCCCCTCAGGTGGCCAGTGCCCGCGGGTGCCGGACGTGTGCCAGACGGGGTCCGCTGACGCGCCCCCCCCATCTCCCCCTCAGGGGGCCAGCGTCCACTGACTCCCTCCATCTCCCCCTCAGGTGGCCAGTGCCCGCGGGTGCCGGACGTGTGCCAGACGGGGTCCGCTGACGCCCCCCCCATCTCCCCCTCAGGTGGCCAGTGCCCACTGACGCCCTCCATCTCCCCCTCAGGTGGCCAGTGCTCACTAACATCCCCGTCTCCCCCCTCAGGCGGCCAGTGCCCACTGACGCCCCCCCCCCCTCAGGTGGCCAGTGCCCACTTACTCCCCCTTTCTCCCCGCACGTGGCCAGTGCCCACTAACATCCCCGTCTTCCCCTCAGGTGGCCAGTGCCCGCGGGTGCCGGACGTGTGCCAGACGGGGTCCGCGGTGAACCGGCTGCCCAACTGCGCCAGTGACGCCAGCTGCGGGTTCGGCTTCAAGTGCTGCTTCGACCGCTGCCAGGAGCAGTTCGTCTGCAAGGCGGCAGTCGCCGCGTGACGTCACCGGGGGCCGCGCTGTGACACTATTGGTGGTTGTGTCGCGACGGCGGTATTCTGACGTCACTAATGGTGGCGTCATTAAAATGGCGACGGCAGCAATGGCTCGTCTGCATGGAACACTGCAAATATTGCCTTTCTGATGTAGCTGTAAAAGTCCAAATGTTTTAAAAATAAATGTCTGAAACAAATAATTACTATTTACTTGCATGTCTTGCATCGCTCCGCTTGCCTCTGAACCAATTTGGACTGAACACTGAGTCGGAAACAGTGGGAATAATACCTAATTGGTAACATGTTCTAGTTGTAGCGGTACTACATTGTACAAGTCAACTTATCCTACCTATAAAAGTATATGTCGGTCTTCGCGTCGGCGGTCGGCACCGGAGAACATCTAGCCTGTCATGGAAGCTCTATTGAAAAATCACCACACACTACGCATCCTTGACCCAGTGCACTACATTATATGTAAAAACAGGCCAACATGTGTCAGAGTTGGCGTTTGCCCGGACAAACTAGAAGGCGACTTTCACAGCTGGCGAATAGATTTTACAAACCAATACAATGCATCTACATTCGTGGATTTCGCCAAACAGCGAGGAAAGTAGCAGCAAAATATGTAGTTTTGCTTAGACCTCCGCTTGAGATGTTTGTACCTTTTCCTGCACATGACTGACCAAGTGACCACCCTCGCTCGGGTAGAGTAGGGGTGTCGCTCATCACTTTCTCATGAATCAGGATGCTCGGACGCAGGCCGTGCTGCACTCACTGCGCTACCTAAGGCCAGTGGTAAAGTATGATAAAAGAGTTTCAGCGCTTTATGTAACAACTTCCTCTTATTAGGTCGTTCAATAAGTAACGAACAATCGGTCATAACTTCTTTATTTCTTTATTTAACACTTTCAAACTTTCACAGATTATAGATCAGACATTTCTGAATGCAGCCTATGCCTCAAACCAGCCGCCGCCCGCTTGCACACACTTCTCCCAGCGTTCCGGCCAACGCCGGAATTCCGCCCGGAAAAACGCGTTTTCCGTCTTTTTCACCCAGTTCATGACAGCGCACATGACTTCAGCGTTGGTCTCGTGTGTTCACCATGGAGGCCATCCTTTAGGGGACCAAAGAGGGGAAAACTGAAGGAGCCAGGTTTGGACTGTAGGGCGGCTGGGGCATGATATTCAGCCCTGTCACGCGATCTCCTCGCGCGTGGCGTGAGACAAGTGCGGTCGGGCGTTGTCATGGTGTATGGTGATGTTATTGACATCCGAGCCGCGCCTCTTCTTCAGGATTGCTTTTCTCAGTCTCCTGCAGGACTGTGATGTAGCGGCCCGCTGTCCATAGTCCGCCCAGGTTCAAGAAAGCCCACCAGGATGACACCATGACAACGCTCGTCCGCACATGTCTCACGCCACACGCGAGGAGATCGCGAGACAGGGCTGAATATCATGCCCCAGCCGCCCTTCAGTCCGAACCTGGCTCCTTCAGATTTTCACCTCTTTGGTCCCCTAAAGGATGGCCTCCGTGGTGAACACTTCGAGACCGACGCTGAAGTCATGTGCGCTGTCATGAACTGGGTGAAAAAGACAGAAAACGCGTTTTTCCGGGCGGAATTCCGGCGTTGGCCGGAACGCTGGGAGAAGTGTGTGCAGGCGGGCGGCGGCTGGTTTGAGGCATAGGCTGCATTCAGAAACATTTGATCGATAATCTGTGAAAGTTTGAGTGTTAAATAAAGAAATAAAGAAGTTATGACCGATTGTTCGTTACTTATTGAACGACCTAATATTACCGTCATAGGAGGCATAAGTGCGCCACAGTTTGCCCCAACAAAACCACAATGCTACATTTGCTCGTATGGTCACACAAAAGAAGTGTGACTGTCGCAATCGGCCGTCCACGGAATGTATCCGTCTTTGTGGTTATTAAATAAAATGCGTAACTGAAAATGTATCAATTCAGGACACTCTGGGTCGGCATTTGTAGTCAAACTGCGTTTGATGTAACAATTATTCGCAGGTGTAAATACCAAGAACTTGGCGATGAACAGCAGTCGCGGTTTTCCATCGCGTCGTAGAAGGATTACGCATGTGTTTGCTTGGGAAAGCTATGAATACAACTGTCACATTTAGAATGCAACGAATAATCAACGGCTCGATAAATATTTATCTATTTGTAAAAAACGAATAAAATCGTGCTACATTGAGCATTTTAGCGCCCGCTTTATAGTGTTAATATTATTGTTTCTAGAAATACAATGGCTTAAACATTCTGACCTTTAGTTGAGTCACGCTTAGAAGACAGTTCGGGGATAAAAACTATCTAGTTATAGGAATCTTGGATAAAAACAGAGTGACGGTTACAAACACCTTCTAAAGATCGGTTAACATTGCACCGGCAGTGACGCCGCCGCGATTCTCTGTTTCCCGTGAGCCGTGCTCAATGCGACCTTCATCGTCAACAGGAAAGGGTATGCGTGCGCGCCGCGCCACTCGTGTGCGCAGTAATTAAAACCGGTGAGGTCTGGCAGAGTTTCCGATTATCATTCCCTGAGAGCATCTCCAACGTTTAATTTGCAGTGCAATACACCTACACATACGTTATACCATACACATATCTACAAATTACAAGTTCTAAGTGAAGGTACGTTTTTTTTTCGGTTGCTATTCGTTTATTGTTTTCGTTTCGAATTTTCGTTTCGAAACGAAAACAATAAACGACTATAATGGCAGTCGAAATATTGTTCCTTGAATTATGATGTTTGGTCGTAAAAGCTTGAAATTGTACAATCGCTAGCTGATCTGAACTTGAACAAGCAACCAGTGCAATAAAACCCAATCGCTTTTTATTAGCCATATGAGCTCTCATTGGTTACTATGTCGATTTTCGCTATTAATAGATAAAAATTGTTAGGAGTTAAAATATACCTAAACACTTTATTATGTACCTATGTTCATAAGATGCTGATAGACGCATTAAGTATCAGTGGCTGATTGCGCTTGGTCAAAGCAAATTTACACTGTCACTGCCAAAGTCAAAGCACATTGTCACTGTCAAACCAAAGTAAATGCTGAAATACCTCAAATGAGCGCCGAAAATAGCTATGCAACTATATATGGCACGTCAGCACGAGCGGAAACACCAGCGCTCGCTTTGGAGACTGCAACGTAGCACAGCACCATAGCACCACAGCCTGTCTCCGGACCCGAGTGCCAGTGAGTGGTTTGAGTTGTATTGTATTGTATTTTACATCATCGGCACTCTTCCACTCAAGGTGGCTATTCCGAGCCCTCGTCAAAACAGTAAGCGCGTTAAAAAGACACATAAACAGTTAAACCAGCAAAAGTATAAAAGCACGCTAAAACTAAAAGCACAGCTAAAATGTTTGTATGGTCGCCTATCCAGCTACCTGACTAGGTGACTTTTAATACCTTTCTTAAAGCGCGGACCAGACATGACCTGAAGCTCCGTTCCTATGACATGTTCGTTGTACAGTTTACACGCTCGCTGCTTAAAAGTTCTTTGGCCAAGGCTGGTTCGAACACGCGGTATATGTAAATGACCGGACTGCCTAGTCTGGCGCTCGGAAACATCTCTATTGTACGATATGTCCTGTCGCAGTACCTCAGGCTCACCCCTGCTAATCACACCGTGTAGCAGACATACGTCGTTCATGTCAATCAACGCACTGACGGGGAGCCACTCCAAATTCCTAATCACGTCGGACACATGATCGTACCTCCGTCTGCCAGATATCACTCTGGCAGCAAAGTTTTGCACTTTTTGCAGTCGCTTTAAGCTCGTTTTGCTGGCACAGCCGAATACCTGACTACAATAGCGCACATGTGACATGACTAAGGCGTCCAGTATAGTCGGAAGTACGCTTGGAGGAAGCACATGCCTGGCGTGCATCAGGCCAACAAGAACGCCTAAACATTTGTTGACGATATAATCAATGTGTGGTTCAAAGGTCAGTCGGCTATCAAAGATTACACCTAGATTTTTAACAGTTGACACCGGTTGCAGAGTCTCTCCCAGGAACTGCACTCGGACCGGATCCCTCTCGGCAGCCTGTAGCGCCGATCGGCCTCCGGCGACCATCATCTCGGTTTTTGCAGCGTTTATCTTCATGCCGTTCTGGAGAAAGTAGGTGGCCAGAGTGTCCAGGACACCCTCCAGTGCAGTCTGGATCTCTGGCAGCCTCTCCTTGGGTCCTGAGACGACCAGCTGGGTGTCATCGGCATACCTGGCCATCCTGACCATACTGCCATTCACCTCGGACGGCACGTAGCAGGCGGCGCCGATGGAGGCGATGTTGTACAACATCGGTCCCAGGCAGGATCCCTGGAAAAGTTCAGCATTTCCCGCCTCCCGCCGTCCATATTCAGCTCAGTGTTCACCGGATCACTTTCAATGACCCGCATTCAAATCGCTTTGCTACCTTTACCACCGTGGGATGAGTCCCAATAGCGGACCAAGCGGATACGAAGTCGGAAACGTATAGTTACCATCACTGGTATCACTGTACATTGTACGGTATACTGTACGGTACACGGTATACATTGTAGGTACACTGTACATGTACAGTACACGATGTAGCGGCTCAGGCCCGGGTGACCTACGCCCGGGTGGCCTACGCCCGGCTGACCTACGCCCGAATTGCCTACTCCATCGAATGTCTACGCCCGGGTGACCTACGCCCGGCTGACCTACGCCCGAATCGCCTACTTCATCGAATGTCTACGCCCGGGTGACCTACGCCCGGCTGACCTACGCCCGAATCGCCTACTCCATCGAATGTCTACGCCCGGGTGACCTACGCCCGGCTGACCTACGCCCGAATCGCCTACTCCATCGAATGTCTACGCCCGGCTGACCTACGCCCGGCTGACCTACGCCCGAATCGCCTACTCCATCGAATGTCTACGCCCGGCTGACCTACGCCCGGCTGACCTACGCCCGAATAGCCTACTCCATCGAATGTCTACGCCCGGCTGACCTACGCCCGGCTAACCTACGCCCGAATCGCCTACTCCATCGAATGTCTACGCCCGGCTGACCTACGCCCGGCTGACCTACTCCATCGAATGTCTACTGCTCCCCTCCTGTCCGATTAAAGAGTGAAGATTTCGCATACCAAAGTGACCCTTCCGGGGGAACCGGCACCCGCAAGTCAGGTAACAATGGGAAGGGTCG